GAAAGTTGGGACCTATTTTTCTAAGTTTTCTAATTTCATGTTTTTAATGGCTAGTTTTCTAATGAATAAGAAAACTGTGAAAACTGAGCAAACTGATTGGTCTTCCAGTTAATTGTTTAGGAAGACTCAAAAATTGTGAAAATTAGGAAAATTATGAAAAATAGGCTCCACAATTCCGGAAACCTAGCCTCCCCCAAATAACTAGAACAATTGAGAAGAAATTGGTTGTTTTGTCCAGCTCATTTTCAATTAAATTAAGAATGTGCAACACAATTGGTTTTTCAGCCAACTTTTAAAATATAGAAAACTTGGAAAATGGTCGATTTTCCAGCTAGTGATTTGAATTAATGAGAAAAATAAATTTGATTAATTTTCGAGCTTGTGGAAAAATTCAATAATCAAAGAATTAGAGAAAATTGAAAAGGTCCCAACATTCCGGAAACATAGCCTCTTCCAAATAATCAGAAATATTTAAAAAGAAAACTGAGTGATTTTCCAGCTAATTTTCCTCATTAATCAGAAAATTAGAAAATATGAAAGTTAGAAAAGCTGGTAAATTAGGTCGCAACATTCCGGAAACCTAGCCTCCTCCAAAAAACATAGAAAAAGTAGAAAAATTGATTGATTGTCCAGCTTTTTTACATTCATTAGAAAATTTGAAAAATTGAGTGGTTTTTCAGCAAGTGTTTAACCAACTAGGAAATTAGAAATGTTAGAAAATGATTGCTTTTCCATCTAATTTTCCTAGTTAATCAGAAACAAAAAGAAAATTAGAAAAAGAGGAAAATCCGCCGACCCCATGCCTGGTCCAGAAAGGACCACGCTATTGGCACGGGGGCGGTGTGTTCTGTGTTGCTTTTGTTAATATGTTTTCTTTAGGTTCAATGTGCATAAAACTATATATATATATATATATGTCTCTTGGGGCGGGAAATGCGTCGGCTGGATTTCTGTATCCCTGGATCTCTGGATTTGTGGATGTCTGGATCTCTGGATCTCTGGATCTCTGAATCACTGGATGTCTGGATCTCTGCATGTCTGGATGTCTGGCTTGTGGATGCCTGGATCTTTGGATGTCTGAAGGTCTGATTCCTGGATTTTTGGATGTCTCCGTGTCTGCCTCTCTGCTTGTCTTCCCCCCCCCCGCCCCTCCGCCCCCCTTCCTCCCCCCCTCCCCCCCTGTGTCTGTCTGTATCCGCGTCTGTCCCGCAAAGACCCTCCTGCGTCACGCGTGTGTAGGGGGCGGCGGAACCAGGCCGCAGGTCATTGGGGGCGCATGCCTAGGCTGCCTGCCCAGACCGCCGACCCTTTGCATCGCCTGCGTTCCCAGCGCCTTTGGTGCATCATCGCCACCCGCGCCACTGGAGCTCGAGTTGAGGGAAGGCTCAAGACACTGCAAATATGCAGCGACCCAGCTGCATTGCCAGCATCGCCAACGCTTTCGGAAGCCCCCGTCGCCTGCAGGCCCTGCAACGCCCGCCATTGGGGACGGGCGCCGCGAGGGCGGGCGGCGCGGGTCAGGGCGGGGCGGGGCGGGGCGGGCGGGGCGGGACGAGTCTGTTCACAAAGCCATGCCACAAGAGAGAATGAGAGACAAACAAATCCGTCCACCCAGAGAGGCGTGACAGGCGTCCAAAACCGGGGCCAAATGGTCAAATAAAGGGAGGCACCCACGCTAAAAACAACGGGAGACAAATGAACCCGTCCACCCAGAGACAACTATCAGCAGGAGGCAAATGAAGGGAGCCGGACATCCAGGCTGGGGGACAACGGGGGACAAATGACAGAGAGCCGTGCCAGGCATCCACCGGCCCAGGCTGCCTGACAACTGGGGAGACAACGGGAGACAACTGAAGGGAGACAAAGCCTGCCAGACATGCAGGGCTAAAAACAACGGGAGACAAAAAAGCCCGTCCACCCAGAGAGCCGAGGCTGGGAGACAATGGAAGATAAATGAATCCATCCACCCAGAAAAGAGACAAAGCGAGACAATCCTGGCTGGGAACATCCACGCGCTCACTCAAAGGTGCCAGGCACACAGGATGGGAGACAAAACGAGAAAAATGAAGGGAGACAAAGGGAGACAAATGAATCCGTCCACCCAGAGAGCCGTGCCAGGCATCCAGGCTGGGAGACAACGGGAGACAAATGAAAGGAGACAAGGGAAGACAAATGAACCCGCCCGAAGAGAATTGGAGACAAGAGGAGTAGAATGAAGGGAGGCAAATGAACCCGTCCCAGACATCGACATCCAAGCTGGAAGACGACGGGAGACAAATGAAGGGGCAAAGGGGGACAAATGAACCTGTCCGCCGGAGGGCCATGCCAGACATCCAGGCTGGGAGACAACGGAAAATGAATCCGTCCACCCAGAAAGCCGTGCCAGGCTTCCAGGCTGGGAGGCAACGGGAGACAAATCAAGGGAGATAAAGGGAGACAACTGAACCCGTCTACCAAGAGAGCCGTGCCAGGGGCAATAGGCGAGTCACTTTAAATGAGTTGAAAACCCCTCACAGTAAACTGTTTGGGGAATAAAGAAAAAGACAGATTCGCTGGGGCCGCCAATGGCGGCGTGAGCTCAAGCAACGCCCGCTCCCTTAAATACAGCCCTGGCCGTTTCATACTGAAAGTTAACAGTCCACTTGGTGTAGCCTGCTACACACCCCTTTTAGAAGGCGCGCGTGGGCACGCCCCCGCCGCCAAGGATGAAGATGTAAAAGAGTTGCAGGAGCTGAAGAAAGATGACGAGGATCCAGATGCTGGAATTGAGGTTGGTATTTTTGAAGGATCGCCTATCAGGGGAAGGATTTGTGTCCTCAAGAAGGATGCTGACACATTTAAGCACTTGCTAGCACATCGGTATAGGAACCCATGCTGCACTGCAATGCATGTGTGAGAGCAAAGATGAGGCATTTCAGAACGAAGACTGGCGAAGCACATCGATGGGAAGCACGCCGTTGTCATTTGTGAAATCTACAGGTAGAAAGAAAGACAACCGATGCTATTGTCAACGCCATCAAGCACTTCTCAGGCCTGGCGCTACCTGGCAGCCCACATAACAACTCGTGGCCGAGAGAACGAGACAGTTCATCATCGACCGGACCGCAGCGTGTTTGATGCAAGCTGGACTGCCCATATGCTACTGGACGTGCGCAGTTACTACTCTATGTTACCTGATTTATGTGGAGGAGATCAATGGGCCCAGCGCATGGTTTCGAATGCTTGGTGGTTACTTCAATTGGGAAAAGATTCCGTTCGGCGCGCTAGTTGACTTCAAGCTGGGCATGGCCAGAAGCAAGAAGCGAGAGAAGTTCGAGCCGAGAGATGAAACCGGGGTATTCGCTGAATACACCCCAGCGCAGGACTACATTGGTGGAGACAATATCGAGCATGCTTCAAGCTGCGGTTTTTCCAGTCGTCTAGGTAGGTGGGATGCATCGCCCGCAATACGTGCACTATTCCTCCTCTTCTCTTATTTTTGTTTCTCTCTCTCTCTCTCTCGCTCTCTTCTTGCTGGGCGGGTTGCGGCGCCCTAATTACGCTGCCTTACCTTTCTCTTTTTCCCCCTTCTATGCTCTCGTTCTTTGCTTTTTCTGTATTTATTTTTCTCATTCTTTTTGTCTTCTCTTTCTGGCTTTCTCTTCCTTTTCAATTTTTTGGTGTTCTTCGAATACGAGTCTTTCGAGGTTAAGGACGTTTTGCGCTGTTTAGGGTTGTTGCCCTCGTCGGTGACCCTAAACTTGGTTCCCCTGTCTTTCTTGTTTGTTGGTTGGGGGTTTGCCCGCGGAGACCCAACCTGTGGCCTTTTTGTTTTTTTTTGCATTGTTTTGCTCTCTTTCTTTTCCGTTGGGACTTCGCGCCTACGGGCGTGTGTGTGTGCGGAGTTTCAGGTACATTTTTTCTTGCATGGTGTCTTTTTCAGAGCTCATTTTTCGCGGCTGCTGTTTTTCTGCCACTTGTCTGCCATTTTTCAGCGATTTGGAACTCTAGGTGCCATTGTTGTGCAATTTGTTTGCGATTTGTCTGTCTCTGTTCTGCTATTTGTCTGCCAATGTTCTGCAACCTGTCTGCCATTTTGACTCGGTAATTCTATTTTTGAAGGCCTGCTGCTTCAGTGTTGATGCACCTGCCATTTTCCTGACATGTGCTGCAGTTGTTCTGCCATTTGCCCTGTTTCTGCGCCGTGCCTCTGCCACTTGGAATTTTAGGAACCATTTTTTCTGCAACTGCTCTGCCGCTTGCGCCGGCGCCGCGCCATGTTGCGTTCGAGGCCGTTTGGCGGCGTGGCGGCATTTTGCCAGCAAAACAACAAGCGCCGGATACCGACTTGAGACTTCAGAAAAAACAAACAGCAAACACACAAAAACTGCCCGGACAACTTGTCATGAACACATTCCGCTGGCTGGTAACCAGGACCACCCAATGGTAGCTTGTCACCGCACCATAGTCTATTTCCAAAATGATGGCACCTAGCGGTCCATTTTGCCGTTGTGTGGTGTTGGAAGAGTTCCATGTCCATGGATCGACTGCCTGGCCGGGTTACACGACGCATAGTTAATCGCGCCGGATGAGCTTGAGTTTGGCGGCAACGCTTGAAGATCGAACTGCGTACGACTGAAGGGGAAAAAACGGCACACTTGGCCTCTTGGCTTGAAGACTTTGAATTGGCCCCACTTGGGCCCTTGTGCCCTACTTGATGCTTTCAGACTTCCTCCTGACGCTTCCTCCATCCCGGATGTTCGGCTGGTCTGGTATCAAGAGAAATCTAGGCCAACTGTGTCCAGGCAAGCCACAGGCAACCAGTAGGAAAGTCTTTGCCAACACAAGTTGACGAATGTGGCTACAGAGACCAGGCTTGGTTCTCAACCCTTCCTCAATACGTTTAAAGTACGTGTTGTTAGTTACACAAATGTTTTTCGTTTGCCAAAGTTTGCCAACCCAGCCCTGAAAGAAGAAGGGAAGCTGCAGCTAGCCCGTGACCCCGGGCGCCAGCGTCCGAGGCTTGCGGGGGCCGCAGTGCCGCTGGCGCCGCAGATGAATTCTCAGCCTTTCGGCTTTGTAGAATGGGTTTGGCTTGGTGTTTCTTTTCAAACTACTATCAACTAGTGGCAAGTTGTTGTTTTTTCTGGGAGGACCCTCTAGTTTTTTCATCCCCTGGTTTTGCATTTGGGCTTGTGGGTTCAAAATGCAGGTTGGGGGTTGCACGTGGCCTCCTTTTGTTCCTTTGGCGCCCTCTCCTTTGCAATTATATTTTTGGGGTCCTCGACCTACATCTTGGAAACCTACAAGCACATGTTTTTGAAGTCTCCTTCTTGAGGCGTTGGGCCTAGTTTCATTGGGTTGCCTTTGGGCCGCATGTTGTTTCAGGGCGACATAGAGCGAACCCTGTTCGTCCAATGTTTGGACCGATTCATTGTGAACAGGGCTGTCATTTGCGTCGCATTCTGACATTGGTTTTAAAGGGCTCAAAAGGCAAATCAAAGACTTTGCCTTGTGGACATCTGCTCCTGGAGTGTTTTCCAATCCATATCCTTAGGGTCGGGTGGCATTTGAGGTAGCTCTCTGACTCCACTAACTTGTGTAGTGATGTGGTGACCCTGTTGCAACAGACTCTTTCCTTGCTCCATGTTGCGTTCGGACGCAGGACGTCAAATAAAGGTCACTGAGGTGAGGGTTTGTTTCACGGAAAACATAATGTTGGTTGACCCCGGTGTGCAAGGTTTCGCTTTGGCACCAGTTCATCGCTGGCCTGCCGGAAAACCCAAACCCTCACCGAGCCAGAACGAATCACCAGTGTCAAAACCAGCTCACAGCGTCCCAATTTTGACAACGTGTGTCCTGACAACTTTTACAACCCAGCCAGCAGCCCTCCCAGCCAGCAGCCTATGTCCGTCTGACTTAGCCCTTTTTCAGAACATGCGCAGACCATTTTCCGTCTGATGGCCGGGCAAAAACGGTCACATTCTGCGAGGCCAGGGATTATCTTAAGCGATAAAGCAGTCATAGGGAGGAGACACCCAATGAGGCATGTTCATGTTCCACGCAGAAGCGACACACACGCACACGAGGACGACATGTGGGAGGACATGGCCAAGTGTTGATAACGATGAATCATTATCGCCAACATCCGTACCAGTCGTGTTTGCGTGGCCAAAAGCAGGCTTTTGGGGCCAAGTGGAAAGCACAAACCACGTGCGCCAAATATGCTTCGACAGGTTGAAACGTCCTCAATTGATTCTCGAGGATGCTTGCGAACTGTGCCTGGGGCGCGGCGCGCGTTCGGGTGGATTGGGAGCCCTTCCACCAAGCCATGGCTGAAGCAGGACGGGTGGTTCTGGCTTCTCGGTGGACTCAGCGTGTTTGCCTTTTGCAGGAGTTCTTGGTAAAGCGTCATTTATTAAGTCGATATTGGAGGAGTTTCCTTGTTGATAGGTGCTGTTTGAAGGGGACACATGAGGACACCCGTTTCAGCATCCTCAAAAGGGGGCGGGCCCCATTTCAGCGCATGTAACGGTACGGGGTTGTGCAAATTCGGGGGGATTGGTGATCCCATTCAGCTTCAGGAAGCCTAGTGGTACGTTTCTCAAAGCCCCAATCTGGCTGGTGTTTTTTACCCACTTGTTCAGTGCACCTTTGACCTCCATTTTAGCTCGCTGCGTTCCCAGTCAAATTCAGCGCCAACAGGTTTCCCTTTTCTGAAGGGGTTCCCCAAAAGGATCACATCTTGCAGCCCCTGAAATCTTACCCTTAGTATGTTTAGGTTCTGGCCATCCGGGAACCTTCAGACACAAGTTGTATCAAACTGGATCCCAGTTCTAGTTTCCATGGTCGTTGCAACACGCGTAGTGCGACGAACCTCAAGCTGGTTCAGGGAGACAAGGTGCAAGGGTGAAGAACTATTTGCGTGCACTATGGCACGCCCATTTGTTCAGGTTTGCCAGTTTTCACAGGCGCCGCTGTTTCGGACAAATCACCCTTGTTACTGATTGGAAAGCGGATAACCCTTGTTAGGGGCTCCCTGCGTGAGTCTCGAGTCTCGCAAGGACTCCATGTGTGGAGGACGAGGGGTCATGCTGCGGCTCGGATCCAACTGTGAGTTCCGCCCCTTTTTGGGATGACGTGCCCACTGACAGGGTTACCGTTCGACAATCCCCTTTTGCGGGCATGTGGTGCCCTTCTTGCAACCGAACAACCATTTAATCTTTCCATTTCACCCCTTTCATCAGACCAATTGAAGAAGTTCATTCCTCAGTGCTGTCATGCCTCGATGTTTTGGTGCTTGAAGCCAGGAGAGCCCGCGAGAGAGGCTTTGGGCGTTTTTGCCGACCAGAAAATGAGACAGGTGAACAGCTAAGTTGATTGTTGCCGGTTGTTTGCAGGATGTCCTGTTTTTCCCGTTTGTGAAGTTCATAGTGGGTGGCTGCCGCCTGCCCATAGTCTTGTTTTGTTCATCCGCTTAGACAGGCAAACGCAGAGAATGTTCGCAAAGTACGCCTGGGAGGCTCTGATTGTTTGGCCTATCAACGGCACATTCTTCGGGTTGCCGCCAAACATGTGACAAGTGGAGCTGTCTCGGCGCGCTTCGTCAAACATATTACCAGAGTTTGAATAGTGCTTCCAGCGTTGCAAAGACAAGTTTTAGATAAGGCGTGTACTCTTCAGGGCCAACATGCCCCTTCCCCGATTTACGCTCAGGGCAAGCCGCCTTGGCAAAAGCATGATAGCCAGTTGGCTGGATTGCCGCCATGACTTTAACGCCTCCGGCTCAACAGGCCTGCCTTTGGAATTTGTCCTTGGGTTTCGCATTGGACTTTTCCCATTGAACGTTTTCCTTTGTCCACCAGTAAAGTTTTCCTATTGAAATTTTCTCATTGGAATTTTCCCATTGGAAGTGTCCCTTCGGATTTTTCCTTTGAGAATGTCCCTTTGGAGCCTTCCCACTTTGAATTTTCCAACTGGATTTTGTCCATTGGGGTTTTATCCTTTGAAGGTTTCCGTTGGAATTCTCCCATTGGAAGTCTTCTTTTCGGACTGTCCTATTGGAGCTTTCCCATTAGAAGTTCCCCTCATCATTTTTTTATTGGAATTGATTTTTTGGAATTTCCCAATTTCTCTCATGGGACATTTAGGATTTCGTATTGGATTTTTTTGGAAGTCTCCCACACTTCTCCCTTTGGAATTTTCGGATTTGCCCCATGGGAATGCTCATTCGAATAGCAGAATTCCGAATATGGAAGAATTTCCTGGGATGGGATGGACTTCCCGGGGATGTGGAATCCCAAGTGATAATTCTAATGGGAAACTTGCTCAGGGATGAGAGATGTCCAGCATCCCCTTTGGAATTTTACCAAGCCTTGCAAAGTGTTCTTCCGGAGCCGTTAGCCTTGTCGCGCCGGTTAGCGAGAGCGCATGCCGCAGGACTACATGCAGAGCAAGTAGCAGCAGCAAGTGGCACCGAGCCCACATGAAAATGACACCCTTTGCCGGGATCGGCGTGTTCGATGTCAAAAAGCTGAGGACTGTTTATGCGGAGATCGGCGTGGTCGATCGCACGAAATGCTGGTAAAAGCTATTTCCTAGTCGGAGCACGGGCTTGAAACTTTGTCTCGCGGTTTGCGCGCCTGCTCTTGGAAGCGAGCAGCCCCGGGCTCGAACCCTGCTTGGCTTCCGCGGATAAAGTAGCGCGCGAGGTACACTTTCGCAGCTTCGGCTGGAAAACCTCAACTTTCAAATGCGAAAGTAGTGTGCGAAGTACACTTTTGGAAGGCTCAGGCTGGAAGATTGCAACTTTTGAGTATGAAAGCATAACGCGAAGTACACTTTCACATCTCCGGATCGATAATCGAAAGGTTGCTGGTGTTGTGGCCAGCGCTTCGCGTGGAGAACTTGCTCAGAGAACTTGCTCATGGAAGCTTGTTCCAAGCTTGCGCAGCACACGTGCGCAGATCACTTGCTGACACGCGCAGCTTGCGCAGAACACTTGGGCCGAGCGCTTGCGACGCGCAACACTTGCACAGAGCTCGCAACACTGAAGCTAATCTGTTGCAGAAGGACATGCGTAAACACGTGCGGCAAAGCTCTGGCACGGAAATGTCTGGGCAGTTTGCGCAGAGGTTTTCGCGCTGCCGTTTACATATTTTTTTGCCTCGGAGCCGCATGATGGGCCATCAGAATCTGCAGCTGCCACTTACTGGGATGCACCGCGTGTTTTGTCTGGATAAAGGACTTGTAAGTGTATTTGTAAAGTATATAACCTAGTTAGTAAGTACTTAGCTAAGTGGTTAAGGTAAGTGGTTAGCTAAATGGTTAGCTAATATTAAGACTGACGGGTCAGGTAACTCTTGAGCGCCCATCAAATCATTATTTTTGTAACGGATAGCATTTAGAGTTGCATTCTCAAATTGCGTTTCTTGGGGCAGGGCTTGCTGCTTTGCGTTTTGAAATTGCACTTGTGTCTGTCAAACCTGCTGATCAGCATTTTCAAGCTGCACGGTCAATCTTTTTGCTTAGCACCGGCGAGCGCGTTTGCTATGTTTTGCTAATTTTTGCTAATTTGCATTATTTTTACTAATGTTTGCTAATTTTTGCTAATCTTGGTCAAACGCATGTGCAAAAAATAGCAATATTTAGCAACCCTCTCGTGGTTTTGGCCGCCTGGAAGCTCGCTCATTTTGCGAGAGGGTTGCTAATTTTTTGCTAATTTTTACTAATTGTTGCTAGTTTTTGCTAATCTTGGCCAGCGCCTGGCGAACACATTTGCCAAAAATATAGTTCCAGTGCAATTTCAAATTTCTAATTTTGTTGCCGTTTTTTGCTAAATAATTATTTGGTCATTTCCAAGGGACACCTGCCAGCGTCAGTCTTAAAGCTAATAGTTAGCTAAATGGTTAGCTGATTTGTAAGTACTTAGCAAGAAATCAATTGAATGGAAACACATAGCTGTTAGCATTGCCAACCATACAAGTTTTGTGTTTTAAATGCTGATTGTTGTCATTGATTCATATCATGTATGCTCAACATTATGTGGAAGGTACAAAAGTGTGTTGCTATGTTGTTTACGATTGTTATTCAGTATTTCATATGTTGGCAAACTTAAGAAGCACAAACATGCTGGTAGAACAATGGTTGCAGTCATAACATGTACCTGTGCTAGTGTAAAACTACACATTTCTCTCAGCCCATACATGGCTGGCATGGCCCATCACATGTTTGATTGCAGCCACAAGGCTACCATGCATTTGCTAGCTTGTAAAGAATCAGCCATGGCTACCATGGTGCCAACTTGCTACCTCCATGTTGCATGTGCATGTGTTGCAGCCACACCAACTTTGCATTTTGCAGCTGTACCCGGCTACACGTCTCATGGCCCAGAAAAAATTATTTGCTTGCAAGTATTAATTTGAGGATTGCCAGTACTAAATTTAGTATTGGTAGTACTAAGTTTTGAAATTGCAAGTACTTAATTGTGTGTCTCCTTAGTGTTGCAAGTACGATTTTGGTATTGCCAGTACTGAATTCAGTATTGCCGCTACTGAATGCAGTATTCGTGCGTAAACGAAATCAACCCTCTGCAGGTTTTGGCGGCCCCGCGGAAATATAGAAACTCTCCGGTCAAAAGTTTCTATCTTTGTGCAAGCCCTGTGTTTTTCAGGCCTTGCGGAAAGATAGAAACTTTTGCTACGGCTCATCGCCCGGAAAAGTCAAATTACTTGCTTGCAAGCACTAAATTGAGGATTGCCAGTACTAAACTTAGTATTGCCATTCTGGATAACCCCGGGACATGGAAGCTCGCTTTTCTGGGGTTCGGCAAACGTCAATATTTTCCTAACCCCTCAGAAGCAGCTTTTCTGGGGCTGCTCCGCAAGGCCTGAAAAACACAGGGTTTGCACAAAGATAGAAACTTTTGACCGGAGAGCTTCTATCTTTCCGCGGGGCCGCCAAAACCTGCAGATGGTTGATTCCGTTTTCGCACGAATACTGCATTCAGTAGCGGCAATACTAAATGTAGTACCGCCAATACGAAATTTAGTACTTGCAACACTAGGGAGACACACAATTAAGTACTTGCAATTTCAAAATTTAGTACTGCCAATCCTGAACGAAGTACTTGCAAGCAAAAAACAAAATTTTCCAGGGACGTGAGCCGTAGAAAAAGTTTCTAGCTTGGCGCAAGGCCTGAAAAACACGGTGTTTGCACAAAGACAGAAACTTTTTGGATCCTTCCCTGGAACTGCAAACAAAGCTCTGTCCGAAACTGTTCTATTCTTGCGCGGGACCTAGTCATCTGCAGAGGGGGGATTGTGCATTCGCAGAGTTACCTCCCCCGCGTCTGAACGCCCAAAATTTTTAGTAAGGAATGTAAACAATTCAAATCCTGGCTAAAAATTAAGCACTGGCAATGCTCAGTTTAGTCCTGGCAATGCCAAATTTAGTACTAGCAATATTAGATTAGGCTTGGAGTACTGGATTTACTTCAGGCAAGCAAGTAATGACAATGAACCACAATACACAATTTATCGGACATGCAAACGCTTGCAGAAACTCAATTCCTTGGGCGTGCAAAGGTTTCTATCTTGCTGCAGACCCTGTAAAACACGGGCCCCGCAAAAAGATAACAACTTTTGACTGGCGTTCAATTAAAATGGCAATGACAGTACTGAATTTCGTATTGCCAAGGCTAAATTTCGGACAGTACTCAATTCAGTTTTGCCGGTGTTGAGCTTAGTATTGCCAGTACTGAATTGAGTATTGCCTACTAAATTTAGTCTTACTAGTATTGCCAGCACTAAATGTAGTATTGCCAGCATTACTTCTTTAGTATTGCCGGTACATAATTTGGCATTGCCTGTACAAGTACTTGATTTACTATTGCCAGCACTAGACATGGCATTGCGAGTACGAAGCCTACTATACATTGAATCTCGGAAGGTTTTTGGACTTCTCAAATACTACTTTCCTATTTGGAGCACGTCGTTTTGCAAGTCTGCCCGGCTTTCCAAAAAATGCTTCTGTTTTGTTGCGGAAGGGTTTCTATATTGTCGCGACGCTCCGGTTTTGCACGCCCTGACTTTCCCAAAAAAAGTTTTTATCTTCTCCAGGAACGTTATAGTAAGTAAATAGCTAAGTCCTTCTAACTCTGATAATTAGATAATTCATCAGCATGTTAAATGGTTAGCTAAGCATTGTTAAGTCTTAGTAAATGCTGTATTTCATGGCAGCACATAGGCTACTGGATTGCTAACCCATAGAACTAATGGTTGGTTTTACAAGTCAATATAACATACTTATACTATACTTGCAAACACATGCAAAGGCATTTGCCAGAACTTACGAATACACTTACAAGTCCTAGATCCAGACACAAACACGCGGTGCATCCCAGTACCCATGAGCAAACTCACATGCATGAAGCCAACGCTCGCTTTCCATTGTGCTGTCGGTGCAAAGATTGATGGCTGAAAACCTGAACATCTCAATGGAGTACGCTCTGAAAAATCTGAGCGCCTTAAAGCCTTAACATCTCAATGTCTTAAATTCTTCAAATCTCGACGGCCGCAAACCTTATATGGTGTTGATGCCTTCAAATCCTAACACCGTACTGGTTGAACAGCTTGGATGCCACAAGACATGACCTTTTTTGGCCCTGTGTCCAGAATGTCTATGTGTGCAGAAAATGCAAGTGATGCTGGTGATTGGCGATATTGCTGCTGAGGATTTACGCGACCGTGTCCCGCACCACGCTCTTTAATCTACGGGGTAAGTAAGGGGAGGGGTAACAAGTAAGAGTAAGGGGCATTCCTTATGTCCAACACGCCGCTGCTGTCGGCGGATTTCAGCAATCGCAGGTGCAGCCCTCAATCCCGACGCATTCGTACTACTTAGATACTTGTGACAGAACTTGTAAAGCTGTCAGTGTCAAAAAAATCGTGCAGCGTCAGTGACAAGATTTAGCTGTCCTTTTCTTTGCAGAAGAGTTTTGACACAGTTTTTGGCTAACCAGTTCTGACGGTATTGGCATGTGTTCACTGCAAGTGCACGAGTGACGGATACACATACACATATACACACACGCACGTACACATACACACACACACACACACGCACACATCGGCAATGTTTCACTTCGTGCGCATTCAGGACCTCGGGCGCCATGTCGTGTGATTCTGGTGAGACGCTGCATTGATGCATGACAGCTTACAATTATCACGTTTGAGCCAAATTGCATTGCCTTTGGGCTTTACGAAGCAGCTACCTGCATTGCCACATTGACATTGCTTTGTCTTTCTTGCTTTTGGTGGGTGTTTCTCTAGGAAACAACCAGGGTCCCATCAAACATCAGCATGGGATACGGAGGCCGAGACCTCTCCATTCACTTGCTTTCAGGTTGGGAGTCCTTTGAAGCGTGCCATGGGCTATGTAGCGGTTGACAGCTTGAAACATACCTGGAGCCTCCGTGACTCTTCCCGTTGCTCGTTGGGTGTAACCCAAATTTTCCGGGGTCACGCAGTCTCCAGGTACAGAAAATTCGGAAAATAGCTTCCTGGCCACGCAGAGCATACTTTTTGAATAGCCGTGGCGTACCGTGTTGCACACCCTCATCTAGAGGGCTTCGCTAGAGACCAACAAATGGTGATCAAAAGGCAATATTTGCATGGCCAAGGTTTCCGAACCAGCGGGAGTGTTCTTAGGCAAACCGTAATACTCACTCCAGCCATCTCGACGCTTTCAGCTGTTGACCGCACGTGTTCCGAACGTTCCAAGATGTACTTGGGCAAAGGGGATTGGAAACCCCCTTGCGGTTTGCCAGTTTCTCTTGCGGGGTTTGCAAAGGTCTTGGACCAGCACATCTACAACCTCGTGTGGAGCTTTTGCAAGGCAGAGGCAGGGCGACCGACCTGCAAGAGCGACGGCTCGCCGAAAAGAGAACCGCGAAAACCCAAGTTCTGGATTTCCCCAGGCTGCGTTCATGGGTGCCTTTGCTTGGTTTTAAAGGAGCAATTAAGAAAGGATTTGTTTAAGAGGCATGGTAACACTGAGCACAAGTTTCTCATCTCTGGTTTAAGAAGCACCCCCTCTAAAGTGAAAGAGCCCCAAATCAAAGAACGAGCGGTTCATAATCCTGCGTTCCGAAGCGGCCCGGGGGCCGCCCAACGGTTCCCCAAGAACCATTGGAGGGTGTTTGAAAAGGGGTCTTGCAAAGGGTCGGCATTTTGTCAAACGCCCCAGGCGGGTGTGTCGGTTCCGCGCGTAAACGCCCAAGAGCCTGAAATTGCAAATTGCTGCTTGCCAGAACATCCGCAATAAATTCCTCCTCTGGGCTCAGTGTTAAGCATTTGGGGGCTTGAAAGGTGACCAGCGACGAGTCGGTTCTGTTTGGGCGCAAATCGGCCTGACGGCTGGGGCGTGCTTCAAGAGAGTTGTCACGCGGGAGGTACACTTTGTCCAGCAATCGTTCTGTCAAGCCTGACGACAGGTAGCGGCCTTGCGACAGGAAAACACGTGACGCCGACGAATCGTGCCCTCTTCCTGGTTGGGTGACGCTTAGCAGCGAGGCACTCCCTTTCGAGCTCTACAACACTTTTTTGTCCACCTACCCCGGAACGTTTTCTCGTCTCACTTTGGAAACATTTGAAACATTGCATAGACTCCCACAAAGGGCGAGTGACTGTTGGGGCATTTGCGGGATTGTCAGATGTCCCTTTGTCTTTTGTGCAGTTGTCCAACTGTTTTTGACACCACGCGACGGAAGACCTTCGGCGAATTCCACATCGATATTGGGTACCTTTGGGGCGCATCAATATTCATGGTTGTTCTAATTAGCCTAATCATTCTCGCAATTCTACCTAACGATTCTAGCTATTCCAGACGCCGGGCGCCTTGCGGGAAAGTCCAGATTGTCTTTCTACTTCTCATCATTATGTTAATGACGTGGTTTTTCCCAAAGGGACGGGTGCCTTTTGGAGAAATCCAGACAGCTGTTCTGGAGTAGTATTAAATACTCGAAACACACGAAGTATTCAAAACGGGGTGTGGGTGCTTTTTTGGGGATGTTCACACTATCCTATTCTGGTTATTCCGATCATGCTAATTATTCTCAAAGGGACAGGGTGACCTTTAAGAAGCTGCAAAATGTCGTTGTCTTGGTTGACGCATGAGGAAACCCAAGCTCAGTGTGTCTTCTACTTATTCTGCTTCTTTGATGTTTCCCAGTACGCTAGTTATTGGAAAAGTTGCAATGTGTGTAAGTCAGTGTGAGTGTTGGGGTAGGCCGAGTTGCAGAGAATAATTCAAAATAGACAAAGGCCACATGGCTTTATTTGCTAGTTCCGATAACTATCCAGGTTCACCTAACTTCTCTTACTATTCCCAGAGTGGAGGGGTGTCGTTTATGGAAACCCGGACTCGTTTTTCGAAATATGAGATGTGTTTTTGGGGCCCAACGGGCAGCTTAATGGGAATTTCAGATTCGGTTTGCTCCTATGACTATTCCTAAAGGGGCGGGTGCCTTTTGAGGAGCTCAAGATTCATGCTAACTATTTTGGTTATCATCATTTCGTATCCCTTCTAGTTATTATAACTATTCCCCCAGTTAGAGCAAGCATGAACCTGGAGTTCTCCATCTGCCCCCCCTCGGCATCAGTACAATAATTAGTGCAGTTATGGATATTCAGTTGTGGAATTCTACAGAAGGCGCCCGTCCCTGCTTCTATGATTATTCTACATGTTCCTCTTATTCCCGACTTTCAGACCAGTTTTTGCTCTCGGTATGATTCATCAAAGGAAGTTTAAAAGGAACTTCCATGTTCCGGCAACTAATTGAGAGCTAGCTCTCTGAGACAAACAAGAGAAGGAAGCAGCCCGCGAGAAAAAATGCGCCGCGCGTGTGGCAGGGGAAGAGAAAGTCGGCAAAAGCATGGTGCGCGTGAGTTGGCGTCTCCGGATGCTAAAGTCGCAAAAAGCGTGGCCCTGTGCGTGAATTAGTGTCTCCGGAGATGTGAAAGCTAGCCTGTCCGCGGTGTCTGGTCAGAGCGGGCTCGGAGCTGTCTTGGAGCAGGCTCGGCACCGGGGCCCATTGGCACGGTTTGAGTTGCGTGGCAGGCACAGCATTTTGGCATGGTCAGGCGCAGCACTTTCGCAAGGCCAACTTCTCCCAAGGGTTGAATTCCGTAGCAGGCGCAGCATTTCGCAAGGTCAAGTACAGATTTCGTGGCAGGCGCACCACTTTCGCAAGGTCACGTCTAGATTTCATAGCAGGCGCAGCACTTTCGCAATGTCAAGTACAGATTTCGTGGCAGGCGCAGCACTTTGGCAAGATCAAGTGCAGATTTCGTGGCAGGCGCAGCACTTTGGCAAGGTCAAGTACAGAATTCGTGGCAGGCGCAGCACTTTCGCAATGTCGAATGCAGATTTCGTGACAGGTGCAGCATTTTCGCCAGGCAAGGTCGAGTGCAGATTTCGTGGCAGGGCAGCACTTTGGCAAGGTCAGGTACAGATTTTGTGGCAGGGGCAGCACTTTCGCAAGGTCGAGTGCAGATGTCGTCGCAGGTGCAGCACTTTGGCAAGGTCAGGTGCAGATTTCGTGGCAACCGCCGCACGGCAGGCGCAGCGCTTTCGCAAGGTCGAGTACAGATTTCGTGGCAGGCGCAGCACTATCGCAAGTTTAGGTACAGCTGGATAGATAGGTACATTAGATAGAAAGTAGATAGTTGGAGAGGTAGGTAGATAGAGAGAGATAGACAGAGAGATAGGTAGATAGATAGATAAAGCAAAGCGAGAGAGAGAGAGAGAGAGCGAGAGATGGATAGATAGATAGATAGGCAGATAGAGAATTAAACAGATAGATAGCTAGATGGAGAGATAGGAATATAGAAAGAAAGATACATAGATAGATAGACAGATAGATAGATATATAAAGAGATAATCAGATAGATTGATACATAGATAGAAGAAGAAAGATAGATACATACATAGATAAATAGGTAGATAGATAGATAGATACACGAGAGATATATGAATAGAGACAGAGAAAGAGAGATAGATAGATGAATAGACTGATATTCAGGTTGGTAGATAGGATAGAGAGATAGGTATATACACGAGAGATAGGTAGATACATAGAGAGAGAGAGAGGGCTAGATAGATAGAAGATAGATAGACAAATAGATAGATAGATAGATAGACAGACATATAGATAGAGAGATAGATAGATAGAGACACATACATACACACTCAAAAAGATGCATGCAAAGAGAGATAGAAAGACAAAACGACAGAGAGAAAGAAAGATAGATGGAAAGAAAGGAAGGTCGGAAGATAGGTTGGTACAGAGAGAGAGAGAGAGAGAGGTCAAACTACATGCTTCACTTTGCACTCTTGTTGCGTGTATGTTCACTACCGCAGGCCTTGAGCTTACTACTCCGCATGAGTCAAAAGGTTGGCAGCTGCAGACTACATTGGTTGACTGTTTGTTTGAACACTACAGCACTTGCACTTGTAAGCAAAGTAACAACCGATTTTAACGTGGTAGCGGAGCTGAGATCCTAAACATAGGGGAGCTCCAGTAAGCAGTAAGTACTACAACAACAGAGCAACAGCAGCTACATGCCAAACTACTACGACATGTCAGGAGAAGCAGCATCAGCCTCAGCACAACAAACTACAGGAGCAGAGAACGGGCCAACAGCAGACACAGTAGGAGCCACGACTACGGGAGCAGGAACAGAACAAGACAACGACGTTCAGAGACTACATAGATACAAACTGCCACCACCCTTCTTCACTGGTGACTACTCCCAGTATGAAGAATGGCTGTTCAAGCTACAAGCATACCTCGGCCTCATAGACCGAGACTTCGACCTGGTGCTACAACTAGCACAAGTGGCTACACGACAGATTGAGGACACAGACATCAGAACACACATACTCGACCCTACACAAGCAAGCAAAGCAGTAGACCTCTCCAGAGATCTACACTACATCCTCATCAACATCTGTCAGGGAGCAGCAGCTACAGTAGTAAGGCAAAACCGCTACAACGCAAACGGATGTGAACACTACGACTACTGCACAACAGGTTCAGCCTACCAGTAGGAACAAGGAGCGTTGGTTACCTTACCAAACTACTGGAACCCACATTCAACGAAGCGCAGTTTGAAGAACAATTTCTACAATGGGAATACGACATCAACCGCTACGAGAAAGACAATGGAACAGCACTACCAGATGGAATCAAAATAGCAATACTACTCAACAAAACCAAAGGAGCACTGCAGCAACACCTCCAACTGCGAGCTGGACAGATCACGAACTACATCGAGATCAGAGCACTCATCCTGGACTACTACAAAACGATTTCACAGCCTTCACTAGATCTACTTCAGCAGTAGGAACAAACTACAATGGAGGAACTGCACCAATGGATGTTGACAACATATGGAGGAAAGGAAGAAGCCACAAAGGCAAAGGAAAAGGAAAAGGCGGCTACAAAGGAAGCAAGAGCAAAGGCAAGTACAGGAGTAAAGGACACTACAAAGGATTCGACAAAGGCAGCAAAGGAAACTACAACAAAGGAGGATACAACAAGAGCAAAGGAAAAGGCTACTCAGGATCCAAAGGATATGGATCAAGCAAAGGCTACAAAGGCCAAGGAAACTACAGCAAATCAAAAGGAAAAGGAAGCAACAACTACACAACATGCCATCGATGTGGCAAGCCCGGCCACTGGGCACAAGACTGCAGAGTGCCGGTATGGCACATAGGAGAAGGAGAAGAACTACATCCACTAGAACAAGAACAAGCAGATCACGACAACAATGATGAACTACCTCAGGATGTGAACGACACTTGGGACTGGTACTACGAAGGAGAAGAAGGACAACATG